ACATATATGCCCGGACACAAACAAAAACATGTACGAAAATCTAAGTTACTGTATAAAAAAAAAAAAAAGAAGAAGAAGAAGAAGAAAAATGAAAACAAGCACTTATTCTCTCTGAAACTATTGAATGAATGCATTGCATGCTTGCACTTGCATATTTGTCAACTATGTAATTGTTGCTGTTGTTGGTTGGTTTGTTTACATCAAGTACAAGATGTATTCAATTATGCTCTTTTTTTTTTTAAGTTCTATCTCTCTTGATTTTTAAATTTTTCCTTTCGTTCCCTCTCTCGTACTTTATTTATTTACCTCTCCCTTGTAGGTGTTTGTTATGAGTGTTTATATATATGCGTGTATATATATATATATATACATATGGGAGAGTATTTAAATTTTTCTTTTTCGAGAGTATTGGAGAGGAAGGGGTTGAGTAACTTTTGTTTCGTTTGACCTAATTTTACTCTGCATCAAATATTTTATTGTTAATTTTTTTTTTTTTTCAAGTTGTTATTGCTTTTAGTTTTGCTTTTGTCCGCTGCACTTATACTGAATTACAAATGTTTAAGAAGAGAGAGAGAATATCTAAAATTCATTTTTAATAGAGTACTTTGCAAATGTGGTAGGTTATGTCCATTATATAGACAAATGCCATGCAAATAAGATAGAAAAACACTGATAATTTTTACTTAAAGCAAAAAAAAAAAAAAAAAGGAAGAAATAAATAAAAACTTTGCAAGTGATTTCCGTTGCTCTTTTTCTCCTGATGTAATTTCTAATTCTTATAATTAATTTAAAACAAACAATTTTCACCGTACACTACTCACTTATTTTATTAATATGTAATATTCAATATATCCAATAAATTCTTTGTTGTTGTTTATTTTGGTCCATATACGTGCGCATATATATATATATATATATATATATGTGCATCTAAAGAATAATGGTTTCACTTACACAACACAACGTAAGAACAAAAATGTAAAACAAACAAAAAAATAAGAGAAAAGAAACGCGTTTTTGCCCGTAACTTATGCAGGGCTTCTGTAGTTAGTGGTTAGCGTTTGGAAGTACAACTGAACTCTGGAATGCTGATGGCCATGGTGTGGCAGCAGCTGTTTGTTCACTCGCTTATGATTGTGTGCTTAATCATTACCGTATGTGTATGGTAGATTTGTTCTATCTAGTATAGTAGTATAACTATCACCACACTTATGGGCATCGCAATTCACCACAACAACCGAATTGGTTTTGCAGCAAAGTGGTCGCTTTGTCAGTTAGTCAGTCAGTTAGTCGTTGCTGTTGTCGTCATCAGTTTTTTTTTCATTTTGCATTGCTGGCATACGTTACGATAACAGCGCAACAGACGGACGTACGGACGCATTAAAATTGGGTCAACAGGTTTGGAGTGCTTAGTGCTCACCACCTTTATGATGTAGTGGTAGTGTGGTAACGGTACTAATGGTCTATTGTATCAGCCCATGCCTTTTTGCCTTTTTTTTCATTTTTGTTTCTCTTAAAAAATATCGCCATACACACACTTACATATAAATGTGTATAAACGTCCACATTTATATATATATGGATATGTATATATAGATGCATATATATATTTATATATGAACCTGTACTTGCTATAGAGTGACACTAATTTCACAAACCGCCGACGCATTGCGTTTATTGCACCACATGTGCTTTTTTTATACTTGCACGGGAAGGTTTGCTTTTGTGTGCGTATGTGTGTGTCAAAATAAAGACAAACTGCTTAAATCTTTTTGATATTTTGAGGCGATTTCGTTATATCTAAATAGGAGCATTGCATAATGATTTTTTGGTAATAAGGTTAAATTGAAAAAAAACGCCTATCTTTCCTTTCATGCCAAATAGAAATTTGAGGATAAAATCAGCTTTAGTCAAAGAAAATTGATTAAGAAATGAAACCGATCGTCCAACACGCTACGTCACTTCACCCATACAATTCTTTTTTTATTTTCGTGATGAAACGAAATGCGTACTTCATTTCCTTGTAACGATGCTCGCCCCTTATGTTGTCCCTTAAATTGGATGAGATACTCTATGGTGTATATTTGATGCGCTACTTTTTAGGTCAAGTTACTTTACTGTTACAATTACTTTCAGGATAAAATATTAAAAATTAGACCATTCCACCATATAAAGGCTTATTTTTCGTAGGTACGAGTGTATGCGAGTGGTTTTAAAAAGCTGGCCACTAGTGTAGCAAAGCGTTGCATATAATTTTCTTATAAGGGCTTTTTCAAAATAAAACGCTATATGTGGAGCGATTGTAAAAAGTCTTCGATCCAATCCAGCTTCAATATGGTCGATATATCGTACAAAATACATCAGCATACCAATTCAGAAAACGATTCTGCACCAAACTAGTATATAGTGGATCTTTATACCTGTCATATACCTCCGGACATATTTAATGTACCCTGCATCACAAACGGTAATGACGCAGTTTGCATTTTCGTATGTAGACGTCTTTTGGTTCGAGGAAGAATGCTATTGAGAATGGATTTCCCATCATATTGGGAAAAGTCTTTATATAGAAAGAATTGCAATTTTTAATATTTCTCAGCAATAGTCGGTAAAAGACATTATTTCGGATTACTTAACAAACGTGGAAAATATGAGTCGGATGGGACGATGGTTTGAAATACGTTTCAAGACTTTGTACGATAAAAAGCTCAAATTTTTCGAATTTTTTTGTAAAAACTTGGTAAATAAATTTAATATGCTACGTTTGTGTTACATATTCACTCTACGTTTGTGTTACATATTCAATCTTGCGGCCGCCTTGCCATATAAGGTCTCCTGAATATTAAACCCTTTTATAGTCACAACATATAAATTTGGATATCTTATAAAAAAAATAAGTGAAAAATAATAAGTTTTTTATCGATATATTTTACTTTACCAAATTTTGACTACGGCAGTTCATATACTATAACGTGAACCCTTTTAACTGTCTTTTAACTCTGCGAAGGAATATCTGCGTCAGATTTTAAATCAGTATCTCTTATGAGCTGTGCGACCTTTGACGTTTTAGACCAATATATTCTATCACTTACAAGCCACAGTTTTTTGACTATTACGAGCGACTTCAGCTTATATTCAACTTTAGTTACTAGTCATCCGCTAAACGCATTTAAGGAATCTCTTATACGTAGTTCCGTCGTACAAAGGCACGCACAAGTATAATCTCCGTTCATAGGCACACATTATTAACGGTAAAAATCTACCAAACAGTTCACTATATCCTACATCGCTTGTCGTGCAAGTGTGCGAATGTACGCAATGTACGCAAAACCCAGGAGGACTTAAAACTGACCACGATAAAAGATCAAAGCATGACGGGAGAAATTACTTTCCTTCTAACATGTTTAATCAAGCCCTGCTTAACTGTTCAACCGATTTTCTACCGATACTTTAACTAAGGCATTTGCTTAATTTAGTTAATCTCGCTTTACTATAGAAAATGGCAAATTCGTTATCATAAAAGACAAGGCAAAGGCGATTTGCCTTTGTAAGTAAAATAATACGGTTCCGTTTGGCTAACTCACCAAACTTAACAGCAAGATGTGCATTATAATCAAAAGCAATAACACCCATGACTCGAACAACAACTACTTGAGAGTTGTGCAAGCTGTGAATATTGTGCAAAACCAACATTAGCCAATTGAGAAATCTCCGCAAAAAAAAAAAATAGCTACAAATTTGTAAAGAAAAAAGAATAGCTGGTGGGAAGTGCGACGACGTCGGTCGATTAACTAACAGAACGGAAACACTGCGCCGTATAACATGTACACATACATAGATATTTCATAGATCTTCGTATGCGAGTGTTATGTACTCCCTCCTAATATATCTTTCAAAATTAAACCAATTGCTCTTGTTGTTGTTGTTATTTTCGTTAGCGTTAGTGCTGGTGCTGTTAATATTGCCGCTGCTGCTACTGTTGCTTTTGTTGCGACTGCTACCGTTGGTGATATTTTTGTTCCTTTTCGTTCATTGGTTTTCACAGAGAAAATCTTATTTGTAGGCTGTTGCTGCCACCGTTACTGCCTGCATTATTATTAATATGTTTTATTGTTGTTGCTATTTGTACTTCTTAGTTTCTGTGTCACAATTTCTATAAAAAAAAAATTAAAAAAAACATGCATGCACCTTAGCTTAAAGACCGTCTCTCACTTTTTATTTCCCTCTCGTAATCCCTCTGTCTAAACGTCTCTCACTCGCTCTCTCTCTCTCTCTCTTTGTTTTTCAGTTACATCTCTTTGTCTTCTTTTTGAACGCAAGCAATAACACAAAACAAAGCTTTGAAAAATCTAAGAACTTAAGAAAACTTAAGCTGCCAGCACCGTAATCTAGTTGGTGTGATGGTGTTGGCCAAGATGAATGTCTAAGCATACGAAACTAGCGGAGAGGGAGACGAACTGGCAGACAGGCAGGCAGCCAGAATACTGAATAAACAACAACCGACAGCCACCTGCAAACAAAAAAAACCAACACGAGGCTCTCGTGCAAACAACAACCACACACATATATGCACATACATACACATATGAACGCAAACACACTTAAGCACACAGAGCACAGAAATTATGTTGCGCTGCGTTTTAGTACCAATGAAAACGGCCCACAAGGTAAGTGAGCTTGTAACATAACCCAGTTAAGAAAATCGTGTATGTCGCAATACGAGGCAAATATATATAACATAAATACTAAATACCAACAACAGCAATCAACACTTTCTTAAATTTTGATAGCAATGAAGTTAAAGAACAAATAGTACTTTAGCAAATCCTCGAAAGCATAATCAAATCCTCAAATATATTGACGATAATATCTGAAGAGTTTATGCAGAGTTGTTGTTATTTCGCACTTCATATACACTTCATTCTCAATTATATATCAACTAGAGCAAGACGATGATTATAAACAAAAATAATAAGAAAAAGACAAACAAATAAAATTACCCTCAAAATATCCTTTTTGTTGTTGGTGTTGTTGTTGTTGTTTTAAGCGAACTTAACGGAACATCAACAAAGCTTTGTTTTCTTTTTCTCGTTTGTCTCGTTAAAAGATTAAAATCACCGCTAATTGTTTAACATCCGTTCATGCATGCATACGCGATTGTAACCCGAAGGATATTTTATTTAATGAATGGAGGAAGCTAAACACAGTAAAAGAAAGACACAAGAAAAAAAAAAGAACAAACACACTAACAAATAAAACAAAAAAAAATGGGAAAAAAGCCGCAATCTTTGTAAGGAGCGTTTTTGTTTTTTTTTTTGTAAATGAAACTAAACCACACGAACTAATTAGTGTAAGCGAACACAAACACGCACGCAGCCACGCACACAAAAAAACACATGCATATGCACGCATATGCATGAATGTATATACACACGTTTTTTAAACAAATTATTTATTTTATATATTTTATATAAAAGGCACGGAACACGAACGTAACGGAACAGCGAAAGAATAGAAAAATATTCCGCATCCGCAATAGTCGCTTAACGAAAATGAACTGATTGACAACGACGGTGACTAGAGTAGCAAAACGGGCCGAAATTCAACGCACACGTTCATATGTGAAACTGAAGCTGCAACTGCTCGGTTGGTTTTGGTTCCCCCTTTTTTCGTATTATTATTATTATTATTTTTTTTTTTTTTTTTTTGTTTTATTATTATTTTACTAAAAGTAACACTAACAACAATCCATAACGACACCACTCAGCACCATCGCGCTGACTTTGATTTAAAGTAATGTAGAGAACGTTTTACATGTTTATGGTGTTGGATTTCTTTATATATCAGTATTTTGTGTTTTATTCGCATGTATTGGTCTTTCCCGCATACAAACAGCATACTGCTCGCTTCGCTGCGTACTCTGTGCAGCGATTCCTCAAGGCCTCCTCCGATTTAGGCCAAAAATCTCAAGTGATCTAAACCAAGCAAGAGCTGTCGTCTGTCTGTTTGTTTATTTGTCTGCTTCATATGCCAGCCAGTCAATCAGCCAACCCAAGCTAGTCACTCATATGAAACAGACAGAAGTAAAACTAAACATCACAGAGTAGCGATAAAACAGAAATGAAGCGAAAGAGCACGTAAAACAAGTATTGAGAAATAACACTTGAACACACACACATACGCGCGCGCACACATGCCCATATGTAATAGACATACATCTATATACATATATCTATAATTGTGTACTTATATATATATATATATATATGTATATATTTGTATATTTATAAGTGCAATGTATAAAGTGCTACTTATGGCAAACAATGAAAGCTTTACTGGAAGAGACCATCACTTTAAGAATGAATGGTAATCTACTCCACAAAACAAATTCTAATAAATTATAACAAAACTTTAACATAACATTCAAGGACCCACCAAGAAAACTAACCCCGAGATAACATTTCCTTTTTAAGATTACAAATGTCCAAACGCGGGAGCCTGCGTAAATGTGCACAGTGGAGCCCGTTTTTGTACGAGTACATTTTCGGCCTACCCCTGAAATGCTGAAGTTTTATCCAACATTTCTTAATAAGAGAAACATTGGTTGTAAAGCCAAAGTGTAAAATTTTTTAAAGAATGTGGACAAAGAACTTGCAAAGCACCTTGAAGACACAAATTAGAAGATGGCAAAGGTGTTGTGTCACGGTTTAATGCAATAATCTGAGTCCACAAACTCCACAAGAAAAGTTTCGTGAACTGTTTTCTAATAAGGAAAAAGGTCTATGTCTAATCTTTTATAAAGCTTCAAATTCATATATGATAACTGACACGGGTAGAGGAGGAGGCCGAAATGCAAATGCTTACGAAACATCTCTCATGTACAAATACCTTAAACCCCAACGAGTTCAGAAAACAATTCTTGCTTGGCGAATGTCTGCCAAAGACGAGCACTATTGTAAAGTAAAGATTGGTTCCATTTAAAGGCACACTTTTGTCGGGAGAACTATTAAAGCAGGGTTAATAGCTAACCAAGAAACCATTTGTAGTCACTTCCAGATGGGTTGTTTCCACATAAAAATTACGCGCTAAGAATCTCTCATTTGCATAGCAAAAATTCGAAGATAAGTTGTCGCGTTGCTTGACGCTTTAAAAGTTTATCGTTTTGCTGATCATAGTTCCATTTACAACGACACTTTCTATTACTGCCAATATATTTCATTCTAATGCAGGACGCACCGCTTCATGAGCTTAAATCTCGATTGTCCAAGACACAGACTTCTACGCGGAATAAATCGGGAGCTCCATTTTTACAAGCATTTTCATACGCTCATTTTTGTAGTACTTAATTCAGTTTAGGCAGCTTGTATATAGTTATCTGCTTTAAAACTCTTTCGCAGAAATCCTTACTACTTATTACGCAGCCTAATCCCGTAGCTGAGCCTTTTTTAAAATGTGCTTCCTTAGCTCTGACTAGATAATTTTGCCCACCATTTAGGACACAATACTTCCACGCATTAAATCTACATTCTCAGCGGTTATTATTATTATTTTAATTTTAGACTAATGAAATGAATTCTTAGACTAAAAAAAGACATTGAGCACTAGCAACACAGGCTATCGGCTCTCTCAGCGGTTAAGCTTAACGAAATGTTTTAAAAATGTTGAGTAGTTTAAGGAATGTCAGATTTATATTCCACACAATCATTTCGTACAATTTCGTAACCCGCGCTATTTCCATTATTATTAGAGTAAAATCTATTTTCATGTAAACATCTAAAAAATATCTGCTTTAAATTCGCAATTTTTTATATTTTTTTTATTCCTTGCCCATTATTTATTCAAAATTACTTTTCAATACAAAAAAAACAGTGAAATTTCGTAACAAATACTTAGCAGTGAATTACTAAAAGAACATTGCAAAATGGCTTAGACTTGATAGCACTGTTTGCTGAGTACTGTTTAATATTGCTCTCTTCTCTCTCAATAAATAATCTATAGAACACCAGATATTTTGTATAAATGAAATTAGCACACAACACACAGCACTAAATAACTAAGCTGTGTGTAGGCGGGAAGAAAGGAAACTCTCTGATAAATACATGTATATAATTTACGTCATAACTATTTAGAATCTCTTGCTTTTCGTTTTTATACCAACGAATAACGATTAAAACGAAAATTATATCAAATCAATAAAATACTTTAATATATATAGATGTATTTCTTTTTTTATTTGCAATGCTCACATTTAAAACAACATATTTAACTTTCTTAAAAAAAATAAAAATAGTTCTTTACAAACAAATATATCACTTCATCTTTATGTTAAATATAATCTTGCAAACCGTTGAGACGGTTTAACGTTATTAACTAATGTTGCCAGTAGGTTTGGATTCATTATTATGTTAAGCATAGATAAAGAACGGAAGAAGTTATATTCAGCTTACACTGAATTTGGAATGACGAAAATACAAATAAATGTATATATATAATTAGATCAATGTGATAGAATTTGTAATTTTATATCAAAACAAAATTATATAATTATATATGAAATCATATAATTATATCGTAATATTACGAATAACAATTTTTCTTTTCGCTTATTAGCTTCTACGTTATCTTTTCGACGATAATCACATGTTTGTATAAAACAAAATTTGGTAGCCCTATCTGTCAAAAATTTGACTGCATTGAAACAACATCTTGCAAATTGAGTGATTTGATAGCACTTTTTGTAAATTTATTTCTTTTTTTAATAAAATTTTCTTGTAGCGTTAAATCTAAATTATTATGATGTTACTAATAAAGAGAGTATTAATTTTTAGTGAAGATTATAATCTTGAAAAGAAAGTTGTTTTCAATTGTGAAAATGTATACTTCGTTATTACTTCTAAATTACTTAAAGACAGAGTTGTTTTGTCAGTGCTGCATGTGGAGTTAGGTTTTTTTTATTAAGTACTCGCAAATCATTGCTGAGCGCACAACACAAACGTAGTTTTGCTTTCGTGTGAGTGGTGTGATTCTTTGTGTTAAATATATATGAAAAAACCAAAATGGCGACGTCAGTAGAGTGATGGAATTGAGGAATTTTTTCAATTGTGTTTGATTTTCTTATATATATTCACATATTAATCATATATTGGTGGTGTTTTTAAGCAATTACAACAATAAATTTAAAGACATAAACAAAACGCTGGCAATTAAATAAAACTCTTAAATGAAAAACTAATTGTGCAAAATTAAACGAAAACCCAGCAAGAATTTCGGAACGAGAGAATTTCGTTTCAGTTGAAAAAAAAAGTTACGCTAGAGGAAAAAATAAAAATGGCGCCCGCGACGTCTTGACTTTCTATTTTATGGCATTTCAACGAGTTGATTTTCTAATTTGTGTAATCATTTATTTAACAAAATGCTTTTTAAATTAGTTATTGAAATGTTTTTACCGAAATTAAATTAGGAAAAAAAAGTTAGGAAAAAGTATTCAAGAAGGAAAGGGGAGAAAAGTTTACAAAGTGTGTGAGAAAAAAAAAAATATATATATATATTGAGCAGTAATATCGGAACTAAACGTATGTAGTTGTGTGTTATATGTTGCCCCTTATTAATAATACATATATAGCATTTTGCTCGGTTTATGAACTGTAAAAGTGTGTGCGCGAGTTTGTGTGTGTGTGTGTAATATAAAAAACGAAGGCCTTGAATATGTGTGCTGCCCAAAGCAATCCAGCCCAGAGTTTCGGTGGTTACACCTGGGGTTTTGCGGATAATAGTCGAGCCGAATCAGTTTTGGAAATATCACCGAATATTAATTATACCGTCAGTAGTGAATCTGTAAGTTTTTTTTTAAACAAATCTAAGCAACAATATGTTGATATCATAAATAAAGGAGAGTACCATGAAAAAAAAAAACAAAAACATAAGTATGCATGAATTCATTAGTGTGTATGTAAACGCATACTACAAAAAAGCGACTGTACTACTGTACCGCAAACTACTACAATATGTTCATGATACAAATGATTAAACTGATAGTGTGTGTGCTTATATTTTTATACATACATACATATGTATGCGTCGCTCTCGACGTATGTTCGCATCAAAGTGTGTGTGAGATTATTGGAATACAGAAAACGCGCGCGTGATATGTGTGCGATATTTGTCAAATAAAATGTGTTGGTGGTAAAAATACATGCCTGGTCTTGTTTGTCCTAATAATTTTGTCTGACTACTTTCTTCAATGAATTTTTGCCTAAATTATAGAAAGATTAAAACAAATTATTTAAATTTTATTTAAATTAAGAGAAAACAGTAATTAATCCTTCTGCGACTCGATTTTTGGCGCCTAATGCAGATATGTATTCACACATGTGCACACACTTTCAATTATTATCAACATGACTGCAAGAGAGCATACACACACTTACGCAGGCAATATTCCAATTGCAAAAAAAAAAAAAGAAAAAAAAACTATATGGGTACAAGTTTACGCGCGCCAATTTATGTTGTTTTTCTTTCATTCCTTCAACCAACTGAAATGCACACTCAGCCACTAGTTCTCTTCTTGTTTCCATTGTTTTTATTGTTATTAAAGTGTATGTAGTTACACATGATTTTACGCATACATGCATTTATAGTTTGTTTACATTTCAAGCAATAGATAAAATTTTGGATGAAATTCATTCAGAAAAACAAATCGATTCAATTTTTTTTTCTGGTATTTCTTGACATTGGCATGAGTTCAACCTTAGTTCAAGACTATCTGGCTCACGTTCTACTCCAAAGGGTATCCAAAAGAAAAAAAAAAAGGAAAAAATTCTAAAAAGAGCTCGTTTGAAATTTATACCACATGCTCTAGGATCGCATTAATATTTGCATAGGTAAGTTCTTGTCAACCAAACTTTTGACAGCGAATTATTCTAGAAAGTGCTATATAACAATCGTGTATGAAAATAGAATTAGCAAAACTACTTCACTAAGCCAACGACCTTAAGCAGGCTAAGAGAAATCCAAATCCTACACCTCCTACTTCCATCCTGTCCCACTTAGGAAACGATGTGTACTTGCGAGTGTCTTGAATGCGCTATATGCTCGGGACTGTTTAAGTGCAGCATATCAAGTTGAGAAGTAAGAGAATAAATTTATTTTTTGTTGGATTGGATGACGGCTGCAGCGCGGGCTTCAAATAAATGTACAGGTGAAGCTGCTTATAGAGCGCAAAGAAAGCCTACATACAAGTGGAGATAAGCTGAGAGTTCCCGCTGTGGAACGCACAACTTTATTTACGATAAAATAAAGAGCCTCGTATTCGACTTGTCGAATTTGAAATAAAATAAAATATTACGGCTGCAGAAAACTCTTTTCATTTCACGTCTTACACGAATTTCAGCCACTGTTTAGCATCTTTAACTCTTCATAAAAAAAGAAAAGAAAAAGATTCATGAGTCATCTCGATTGATTGATACTGATCAACATCTGGTAAAGAGTATTAATTATTGGGAAGAATGTTTTGATTAGGTGGTAGGTTCATGAGCAGCTTCTCACACTAATTGGTCAATTTTGTACGAAATACATAAACTTCCTTTCACTTTCTATTTCATTTCCAGTGACTTAAGCGTAATCAATGCACTCAAGGTATTGTTGTTGTTGTTGAATTTGAGTACATTGTCAACAGAGACATCGAATTAGACATCTATTATCTTATTATGCGTGAGATGAAGCATAGGGATTTTAACACTGATTCAAAAATCCCAGGCCCAATGTTAAGTAGGAACTTAATGTCAATTGCAAGTATTCAAGCTTTCAAAACTGATGACTCATATAAACTCAATTGCATTCGATTGCTTCTTTCAAAACTTCCTCTATATGAAGTAAGTGAGCACGAAGTCTTCCTCCAGGATGGCAAAGTTATGGCATATGGTTAAACACATCAAAGAAACCCTTCCGTCCTTGCTAAAAGGTGTCCTTTTTGAGGAAAATTTATTTCGTTGCGTTGCGTAAGCAGTATGTCACTTGCTTTGAAGACATCAAAAGTTGTTAATGGCGGATACTATTTTGCTTTTGTATTGCAATGTTATCAATCAAATGTGTCTCTTTCCCAACTGCGTCTCCTTTGCCATTTCTTTCCAGAAAGTTCTCGCTAAAGTTTTCGGGAAGGTGAATTTCATTCGCCTAATGTCTTTTTCTTGCTAGATGACGGTAGGACAAATAACTGAAATAACTTTTTTATTTTGCTGTGACTGCTCGAAAATCACGTCACGAGATCGTTCAAACTAATCTGAAGGCGGTCGTTGTCCTTAATCGAACTACTTTAGGCCTAATTGTTTACAAATTGAGATAATCGGACCACCTTTCAAAGATTGCAGAGCTCTGCAAAATGGGGAACTTGGTGTCGCGAACTTTTCTCTTAACGTTTTATTTTTCTGAATGTCTTAAGCGGCAATGTTTAAATTCAAAGCGTTTCTTACGTAGAGTTTCACCAGCAGTAGACGTGACAACAGACTAAAAACACCTGACTGCCGGTTTATACAAGTCTTTTCGTCTCGAGCCTAGTGATGATCATGTTTACCGATATAAAATTCGAAATAAAGTCAAAAGTTCAAAAATGATAGTATTAAGTGCGTTTGTTATTTACACCGTTTGCTTGTTTCGGTTATCATATTCATTTCATGCAAATTTTGCAGATGCCCTATTTATTGTCAACAGATGGATCTTTAACGGTACAAAAAGACGTGAAGGGTGCTTTGGCTGCTAATAAAGGCGTTGTACGCCGTATGGTATTGGTGAACGATCCCTTTGCAACAGGAGCTCAGAGGTAATAATCGAATATTAGTCATTCATTCATTTCTTCCTCCCTGTAAAATATTTATTTATTTATGCATTTATTTATTTATTTTCTTTTTTTGTATTATTTTTAGAGTTATAACGGGTGCCTCGTCGTCGGTTGTCAAGAAGCCAGATCAACAAGTTTTGAGTTTAAATTGCGATAAAAACTGTAAGCTCGTCTCCTTAGAATCGCTTAAATGCGATTCCTATATTCAATTGAATATGAAATTGTTTAATTTGTAATTTTTCAAGATCTTCTTGTAGACCAAACGGATCAATCTCATTCTCTTGCCAATGGCATTGTGGATCCCAAGGCTCAGACAATATTAACAACCGCTGCAGGTGCGAAAACATATTTCAGTCCTATAGGGCCTATACATTTAACGGCCGAAGAATGTAATGAAATTTTAATGAAACGTGCTTTGGCCGCTTCACAAACACAAACAATAACAACCAATGACGGCCATACTACAACAACAGCAGCAAGTAAGGCTACATAACAGGATCCTTTAATAGCAAAAAGCGCACCGCATGCGCGGCAAACGAATGGATCATTTGTGTATCCTTAAAAAAATTAGCTGAAACGATTTTTGTTATACTCTAAAAACTTGAAACTCATATTTGTTGTTATTGTTACGTGTTAAGTTATTGCATTTTAATTATATTTCTTTCTTCATCTTAATTTTCATTTCATTAATTCAATCATTCCAATTATGGGTTTGGTGCATAATAGGTGATATATTGCCTGGCATATCAGTGCAAGTACAAAAAGTCATACAGGGTCTTGAGGACAATGATGAATCGCAAGGCGAAGCCCCTAACTTGAAGTTGGAACCGGGCACTTTAGACATGTCACCGAAAGCCGAATTACAAGAAAATATCAACTTTAGTGATGTAAGGGCATGATTATCGGTTAATTTATTTGTATGAGTAGTGAAATATCTAACTTGTTTTTTTTTTTTTTTTGCTTTTTTTTCATAGAATGATACCACTATTAAAAAGGAACGTCCTTACAGTTGCGAGGAATGTGGAAAATCATTTCTATTAAAACATCATTTAACTACACACGCTCGCGTTCATACCGGTTAGTGTTTTTGGCACAATCAATATATTTGCTTAGTTATTCTAATTTCTTTTCTCATTTTCATGCAATTTTCTATAAACATATGTAAAAGGTGAACGCCCCCACATCTGTACACATTGCGGCAAAAGTTTTGCCCACAAACATTGTCTCAATACACATTTGTTATTGCACTCCACCGATCGTCCCTATCAGTGCACCGAGTGCAAGAAGAGTTTTACGCTGAAACATCATCTGTTAACACACTCACGTGTACATTCGCGTGATCGGCCGTTTATATGTCCAGAATGCGGGCGTTCTTTCCCCCTCAAACGCCATCTGGTAACACATAGCAAATTCCACGCTGGTGAGAGGCCGTATGTATGCGAGGATTGCGGTGAAAGCTTTGCCCAAGAAAATCATCTAATTATGCATTCACGGTATAAAAACTTTTATGTCGATTTTTTATATCAAGTATATTGGGCGGGAAGGTTTGCTCTCTTATTAATGAATGAAAAATGTTCTTGTGTTTACACAGTTGTCGTGTTCGATCTGTTCATGTGTTAAAACGGAAACTGTTCGCCGCAGTAAAACAACTTAGACCGCTTGTATGCATTTTACCTTGTAGAGAAGACCACATAGACCACATAGACATTATTAAGCGATTTTTAGTAGATTTACAACATATTCCAATAGTAGTGAATAGACGGACGGTGTAGACCATCGATGAGGTGTTTAACGAAAGAGCGAAATTGCTAATCAGAATTAAAAAATTTCGGTGAAAAGCTCTCAAGCAAGCTGGAAAGCTACTCCTCGGAACCCAAACCTATCTTGTATATGACAATTTTTTCGGAACTAACACTAAACGAGGTGTGTCCTGCGAATTGTTTCAAAACTTTGCCGCGATCGGTGTCTAAAGCATCTTTACTAATCGAACCTTCCTTTATAATAACTTGGACCTTTCTTTTGTGGTGGATAAATGAAATAGTAAACCTTCCCGGCGACTGGCTTTATTAATATATTTCTTACTTAAGAAAAACGCTGTTTATATTTATAGATTCCATGGTTCAGTGAATCCGTTCGTTTGTCAGGATTGTGGTGTTACATTTCCCCGCAAGTTTCAATTAGTGAACCATGCACGCATTCACGGCAAAATACCTCACTCGTGCACAGTTTGTGGCAAAGAATTCTTACAGAAACGTACTCTAGTGTCGCACATGCGGTATGTTACGAGTTTGGAATCATTTTTGAAGACATATATTTAAATATTACTGAATTAATTTCCTTTTGTAATTAACAGTAGAGTTCATACGGGCGATCAGCCCTATCCTTGCATTAGTTGTGGCGAGGGCTTTATGACGAAGGCAGATTTGAATCATCATATACGTAGTACTCACGGTGGTGTTAATCCGAATTCCTCAAATACCGCCATAGTACCAACAAATACCATGATAAGCTCCCAACAGCCCACCCAACCAATACAGGTAGAAGAGAGAGAAGCTTTCATTTGTTTTATTTCAAATTTCAAATAAATACTTTTCAATTCATTAATCATTAGCAAATACATCAGACTCAGGCTCACACGACACAGCAGCAGCATCAACAGCAGACGCATCAATCACAAAACAATCATCCACAAACCATAACGGTTGTCAGCAATCCCAACAGTTCGGCTTTATTAACGGTAACATCAAACGATCCCAATCGACCTCAATACGGATGCCGGTAAGAAACACTATTCGCTTTTTTCATTCATAAGTGATTGCCCTTTATTGTCATCATTGCATTGTCGATATGGTTTCAGTGAATGTGGAAGTGCCTTTAACAGTCGTGAAGCCTTTGCTTTACATCAGCGTTTGCACACGGGCGATAAAAATTTGATGACCGATTTGTGTGCACTGACGGCCGCACTACCGCCACATTTCCTCAGTACGGCTAGTTTAAATCCGGGTGCTGTACCTGTTGTAGCCAATCCAAGCATTATAGCGCAAAATCAGATGCCAGTGCAAATCATATCATCGACGGGTCAGGTAATGTCACAAACAACATTGGTGCAGGCTGCTGCCACTACACATCCACAGTCAGTTGTGGCCGCTGTACCCACCGTAACGGTACAGCCTCATCATCATACCAATACCCAGCAATTGCAAAATGGTAATACTACGGCCCAACATCAACAGCCACAGCATCAACAGCAGACGCAGAATAAACCGAAATCACATTTCTGTGCCAGTTGTGGTAAAGGATTTGCGGCTAAACATGGCCTTATGCAGCATAATCGACGCCATCCGAACGGCGGTTGCACCGTACGTACACACGTTTGCGAGTGCGGTAAAGCATTCTTCCAAAAGAATCACTTAATGTTGCATCAGCGTCAGCATTTGGAAACTAAACCTGCCATTTCCCAACAACAGCAGGTGTGTTGAACAACTCAGTCAATCTTTCATACACAACACTCTCCCTCTCTATCTGTCACAGTAACTCTTGATTGAGATAGGAAACGTAAGGTTGTAGTTGTCCAACGTGTAAGTGTTTAAACAAAATAACCCATTTTTGCCGTTTACCTTTGTTTCTCTTCTTTTCTTAATTTTTAAGAATTTTTTTAATTTCCTTTCATATTTCATTGGAAAATGTATTTTATTTTGGTATCTTTCCCTTCACTTCATGTTTCTTTACAACATTACATACAATATTATTGACTATCTCAATATTTGGACAAATTTTGTATTCCTTTAATGGAATAACGGAACTTTTCAATGAATACCTCCCTTCTTTGAAAGGTAGTAGTTCGTGTATTTACAATTAATGGGATGCGTATGGGATGAATTCCGGAGTGCAAAAGATTTAAAATTTTGTTAAGACTTAGTTTCCCAAAATCGAAGTCATTGAAAGAAAATCAAACCCATCGAGTAAATAGTTGTAAGGTATGAAGTATATTTTACTTTATTTTTGCAACAATTCATTCTTCATGTTCAAATGTGAAGAGGACACAAGTAATACTATGACGGGCTCAATAGAACTGTGCTCTTTCAATTCGAAAGACCTAAAGTGAAACCACCCTCCCCCAAGTACAACTTAATTCTTCTTATTATCACTCATTTCAATCGATAACTTATCGTCACCTCTTATGGCTAAGTGTAAAGAGGGGATCCTTTTGTGGATGACCATATTCTGGAGATGATACTTTAAGTAAGATAGCTCCAATAATTATTTCCTTCTTTTTTTCATGAATATTAAATTTTACATAAAAGTCGGTAGAAACTTATTCGCCATCTTGAAAATTCGTCCATTACAGCTATCCACAAAGATACAATTGTTTGGCAAGTTTTGTCTTCTTGTCTTTGTTTATCTTGTCGGAAATTTTGATAAATTATTTGAAAAAGTGAGAAACGTTTGCAACATTTTCATTATCTCGGCTCATTCGTAATTTGTTTAGCTACGTTATTGCGCCCTCTTGACAAAACCAAACATTGGAAATTAAAAATTATTTCTTGAAAGTGGCCAAGCACCAGAGTAGAGTCTTTTTAACGATTGTTGTTAAAAACGACCTATAATCAGTACATTTGACTACCAGAGAACTTATATACCAATCAGCAATAAAAGACTTTTCGCCGTTCGCTTAACGCGGTAAAAATAACGAGTACAAGTTATTAAAGAAAGGAATAAAGTTTTTTAGTTATAATAATTTATCTAATGCAGGGTTTGATAAATTGAAATGTTTAAAGAGTTGAAGCAAGCAAAGCAAGCAAGCAGAAAAAAAAAAAACGTTGTACCTCTATGAAAATGTCTTGCCAAAGCGAGATATTCATCTACTCTTTTCTAAATAGTGGTCCCATTGCAGACGAACCGCTAATAGCCATTCTTGACTTTAATTTATAGAATCATGAAAGAAGTTCAGATATTAAGTTTTAATTATTATTTAAATACTGCCCCCCTTCGAGAATAGCGCTAGCAGTTAGAAGAAAAATGTACACAGTTTATGGTAACTCGGGCATGACTTTTCAAATGGACGTTTCATTAAAAATTTATAAATATCAGCAATACAAAAAATGCCCAATCCCCAAGATTGGTTTCTCGCAGTTTCGTTTAATGCGCAACGGAGGCCACTTTTGCTTTGATACTCTTATCCGAACTGATTCCAAAATAATTGCAATTATATAATAATGTTCTTGACTGTACGGGAAAGCTACGACAGCAGCCTAAAAAAGGAAGCCTTTTTTTTTTCAAAACAATTTTATTTGCATGGAAGTACGTAAGGTAATAGAATATTCGAGGATAAAAAAAAAGAATCACTAACAAATGGTAACACAAACACTTAACTAACAAATGGTAACAAATGGCAACAATAATCGTGAAGGGCATCTGTGTCATGCAGTGTAAGTGCCGCAAATTTCATTGTAGAAAACGAAAAAGAAGATATTATTTTATCTGCATGCATCTACAGCCAGGCAAGTACATAAGGTTTTTTTTGGATATACACACATTTTTCTGTGATGGGCGACTACTGGATTGAAGGATTTCAATTTTTGATACAAAAAAGTAAATGTTTCGTTAATAATCAATGTTTAAATTAACTGACCAAAATTATCCTTCGTACTTTCTGAATCAGTCTAAGCTTGTCTGTCCGTCCGTCCGATATCTTTTAATGTATTTTTGTGCTCAATCTACAGGACGCAATTTTTGAGATGCGTTGATACTGAGGCGCTTTAATCCAAGGACGAGCGCTCTTGAATATGGTTCAAATCGGTCGACTTTTTCCATTACCTTTCTTCATATAGTGCTCATCACAAACTTGTATCTTTCTGGCTCATAATAGTAAAATACCAAAGAATTCAGTCGCACCAAATTTGGGCGACTTAGATCTATTGCTTGGGTATCACCGCATATAACATTTCTCAGCAGATTGTTGTAAACCCGTTATATAAGGCCAAAATCTTGTTCATGACAGCAATTTGACATAAAATAATGGGGATCAAATTCGAACAACAGAGCTCTATTTTCTTGATTCCAATTCATATAAGGTATGTCATGAATAGTAAGCCCTTGAGAAAAAGATTTAGTTTTCGATATTTTTTCATGAAAATTGGTCCATAATAGCGATGTAAAAAAAGAATTATGGGTGCGGAATTTGCATCACATAGCCCAACTTTTTTAGACCTCAACATATATAGAGGTTATCATCAAAAGTGTGCCTTTGCATGATAATAACGTGCAATTTTTGGCCTATTATTACCAAAGCAAGTGAAAAGTGAACTGTGTTAAGCAAAATGCTATAGCATATCCAAAGGTTGGCCTAGCCCGACTATAATGTCTCTTACGTGTTAAATCTTAGAATTTTTATCTTAAAACTAAAATAATACGATGAAGATAAGTAGCTAAAAATCTCATGTTTTTAAAACGTGTGAAGGTAGACGCATTACTAAGTAATGTAACGTAGCATCAAATCGTATTTTTTACATTCCATCCCATTTTTGGTATGAAGATATATTAAGTTTGCGTGGATGATTGCGGTAACCGGAAGGGTGCCGACAAGTGTCTGTTTGTCAGTCCGACTGATTTTCTTCTATTCAATATATGGATCGTAATTTTTGGAGGTATTTTGATGAAGTTCGGTGCACTAACATTTTTTCACGCACGGACGAGCGCTAATGAAAATGGTTCGGATCGGATCACATTTTTTCAACCTCTTCTTCCCATAAAAAGCCTTATTTTCAAAAGTTTTTATATAATAACGAATAAGCGTAGGTGCGTGCTGTATGGTATGACAGAGCAAACGTCAAGAAAATAAATTGTTTATGATTAAGATTAGATGCTTCACTACAAATATCTCTTTTCTTGGCACAAGCACTCGCAATTTCTTCAAAAGTTACCCTAACATGTATTTGGTTGGAATTCCTTTTAGAGTTAGAAATCCCCGTATAAGACCTTAGGTTGTCAATTTCGCGTAACGACGAGACCATTTGACACATGTAGTCTCTGCGTAACACATAGAGAATTTCTGGAAGAAAGTACGCTAATCATAAGATGAATCTTTTCACTCACATTCAAAGCATCTATTAGATGAATAAAAGAAAAAATTGTTCTTTCTTCTTTCCACCGTAAACTGGCTTTCTCCTGCGACAGTTACTGTCACAATAACGAAGTACCATTAAATCCTTAATCCTTTCTTTCCCTTTGGCATTGTTGTACTGTTATTTGTTGTTGTTTTTTTTTTTTTCTCATGATTTTTTATATTAATTTAATTTTTTAACATTTTGTACGCCTAAGACATAAGGGTGTGACTATCAACAATACAAGCAGCTACACTTTCTTCTTTCGACAGAATGCGAATGCACAGCAGCAGCAGCAGCAACAGCAACAGCAGCAGCAACAACAACAACAACAACAGTTAGTCCAACAGCAGCAACAAAGTCAACAACAACAACAACAACAACAACAGCAGCAGCATCAACAGCAACAACAACAACAAATGAATACTAGAGAAGTTATGATTGGCAATCAAGCGGTACACGTGCAAGTATTGCAAGGAACAAATACCGCACAAGTTATTAAATATGAACTTAACCTACCACGTGGTGAACCAAAGCATTAAATAGAAAGTAAAGTAAAATAGGAAGAAGAAAACTAAAGAAAAAAAAAAAGCAAAGAGAATCGGAGAAAACAAAGCAGCAAAAACAAAAAAAAATTTGAGACAAAAGCGTTGTTTTTCTTTGCTTTATGCGTTTTCCCCGTTTTCTTAATTTTCCTTTTTAGTTTTTCTTTTTGTTTGTTTTTTTAATAAGCTGTGTAGTTTATAATATAAGTAGTTGTTGTTGTTTGTGTATTATCAGCAGATCTTTTTCATTTTTATTTATTTATTTTTTTGTTTTCTTTTATATTTGAAAAGAAAATTCAACAATTGAACAATTTTATTAAACAAAAAACACCCACACACGCGTCCTTAATAAAAAATTAATGATTCGTTAAAAAAAGGATATATATATATATACGTATATATATTTTTAATTTTAATAAGTTTGTGTAAATAGTTGAACACCATCACTGCACCGACAGCCACCACCACCACCACCACCACCACTACAACCACTACCGCTACAACCACGACCACGAACAACTGTAATTTGCTTAGAATTTGATTTAAAATTTCACTTGTATACACAAACAAATATACACACATAGACACGTACACTTATTTGCAATGTTTTGTCAATAATGGCGATTTTTTATTAAATAAGTACCGCGTAATCGCCGCTTTTTGCGTAATTTTTTTTTTTGTTTTTTTTTTTAAACAAATCATTTCTTTTGCAGTTTTCTTCACAGGAGAAATATTTGAGAAAAGCGAGCAGAGCAAATGTCTTTTAATAATTAGCTGATAAGGTCCGTTTCTTTTTTGCTTTTCATTCTATTATTTTATGAATTTTTCTGTGTAATTTTTTTTAGCTTTAAGTTCTCGCGTTTTACATGAAGCATACAAAACAAAAAAGAATTAAAAACAACAACAAAAATACCATTATTTCTATGAATTAATAAATATTATTGTAAATTATAAGGTTTAAAATTGTCTCCCCTTCTTCCCCGCCGGCCCCGTCATACGTCAACCTAAGATCTTTTTCCTTTCATTATAAATACATATATGTAATAATGTATACATACATATGATGAATAGTTTTTAAAATTTCCGTTTATTCATTAATTTTAACTGAAAAACAAAAAAAAACAAAAAAAAAGAAAACAAAAACAAAAAAGAGAAAATTCTTTTGTTTTTTCTAAATAGAATAAACGTAATTTTCTATTTGTTTCTATGTTTACGTTTCTGCGAAGTTTTCAAAGGTTAAGTGAAAAAAAAAAAAAAACAAAAACGAAAAAGAAAAAATAATAATTACTGATGTATTGGTTGCATCTAAAACTACCAACAATAAGTTTCGAAGTTATTATTATCAAAAGAAAAACGAAGAAATGCAAACTCAATTTTTCCCACTTAATGTATATTTCGTTTTATTTGAGGTTTATTAAAAAAAAAAAAAAAAAAGTACATTTTTTTTATCTTGTATAGAAAGATGACGAAATAGAGCAAAAGTGAAGGCAAATGTTTCCTATAAAGCGCATAAAAAAATTTTGTAAGCAATTTTCCCTGATTATTAGTACGAGAACAAAGCCCATGAGACATTTTTACTTTAATTCAGCCAAATCAAAAATTTAGTATGTATACGCATCTCCAAGAAGCGCTTGGACTAAAGGGCTAAAAACTAAATCAATTGTTTACAGATCATCATCGATTAGGTTTGATGTTAGTTGGTATCTTATAGTCATGCTTATGGTTTTCAAAAAGGGGGTTATCATCTCGGAACAGTGAATAGTGGCATCTTAAACTTATTCGAAAGCAAGAACATAGAGAATAGTAGCACAAAGCACAATGTAGTAGAAAGTTTTTACAGGCAGGTTGGAAACAGAGACAAGAATTAAAGGGTAGCATAGACAGCTATTTTCAGAATTGACGCTTATGCTAAAACTTATTGAAGCGGGTCATCATCCCTACGCTAAGTGAATTGTAACAGATTAACGTGCTAGGAGGCTTTTATAGGCGGGTTGGAAAAAAATAACCAAGAAAACTCGTAGGTTCTTCAAGGCAAACGTAAGAAATAATAGTATCGTACGTAATAATGTTTTCAGAATGTTTCTCGAATTTGCGAAAGTAATATTTACCATTATATAATGAATAATTTGAAAGAAGTCCGAGTCGATTCAATTAAGCACAGCACGCTCTGCGTTCATTTTTATTACTGGAACTTCAAAGTTTGGAAAAATTTGAAAAATTAAAACTTGAAAATGGAGGATAAATTCCCTCCCCCATTCCCCCAGTAGCGAAAATTCCAATCTCAAAAGATTCTTATCCTTTAAGTGCAATTTATTCCATTTATCACTTTGTTAGAACTTTGTAAGCATTACACCCGAAGATCTGATAATTATTTCCATTACAACTTCATTCTGGTTCGATTTATTTAAATTATGGCGTTATGAAGTGCGTCCGTTCAATCCAACAGCAAAAATTCTTTCCTTACAACGGAAATAAGGGTCATAAAAACTGTCGATGTTCCATCGGAACACATCCTTGGTGCTAATCGGGCCAATGGCAGCTTACAGGTTGAGGACAGATGGACGAATATATTCGAATTTCAAATTATTTAGATATGGCAGACAATCGTGTGCAATAGAAGGATAGGAAAGTGAACATTTTTTTATTTTATTTTGGAAATTAGGTTAACGCGCAATTTTCTGTATGGCAAGGATACATCAATCCCATAGTTTACGTTCGATCCAGCGCGGTCTTCAATATCTCGTCCTCGCTTAAATTAGTATTTGACGTATTTAGGCAGAGATGGTGACCCTGGGTCTCAAATAGATAGATCTATGTGTAGGATAACAGCGTTTTGCTAACTGAGAATACAGTATTTCGTCATTTGGCCTATTATTTCAGAGAGTGGTAAATAAGCATTTTCTGCAGATTAAAAATATCAATTCTCTCTCACATCTAGTGACGGGTTGCTCTTATTTTCGAGCTTGATTTGTGGTTGAGTAGATTTCCCAAATCTATTTTCAAATTTGCAAACTGTGGTCGTTCCTTCAAATGACGCATCTATACTCTGCTATATTTATTGCTTAAGCCATTTGTATGTACTTTTCATCAAAAATGATATAGAATTTAATTTTTGTATTCCATACCACTTATGGTAGGTACAAGAGTACATGCAGTCTGTGTAGATGTATAAAACACGTAGAAGGACTTGAGATAGAGCCATCTTTTATTATAGCGATCGATGCAGAATCGCTTTCTGAATCCATCTAAGCTTGTCTATAGATAGACCAACCGCCCACTTTGGTTTCTTGTATTCAACCTACGTAAATTTGACGGAATAATGAAATTTGGTACACTGACATATTTTGCTCCAAGGACGAATACTACTGAAAATGGTTCAAATCGAACCAATTTTTCGACCACTTCCCCTTTCACATCACATTTTGAATAGTCGTTATATTAAGAATTGTAGGGTAGTGTAGGGCACATAATGGTGGGTCCTGACTCACATAGTGTTTGTACTTGTTTTACAATTTAATTAAAAATTTTTTGAATCTTAGTGTTAGCTGACAGAGGGTTTCATTGGTCTAAACTGCAACACTACTAAACTTCAAAAGATTACTTTAAATAGGTTCAAAAGAGATATGTTTGATGGAAATACAAATCCCATAATATCACCTCTTATCAGTAATGGTAGTATTAAGACGTGACATGTGTCGAATTATTAATTCACCAATTCCTGAATGAAGTTCAAATTTTGCATTTGAAGCCTTCAAACCGATCTATTGAAATAAATTCGAAACAGATTTAGTTGTTGTAAGTCAAAATTTTAAGCTAAATTTGAATGGTTGATGTAAAAAATTTTTAAAAATTATAGGAACCTTCTTGATACTAAGATGTGAGTTTTGCAGAATACTTTTATTCCTTACGGGCTTAGTCCACTTAATCGCAACAAACCAAATGAAAACAAACAAAAGATTATGAAATTTTAATAAAAATCTTATTCAAATTTTTAAAAACTATTTTAAAACTATTACAGAACTATTATGTAAAGGAAGAGCCTTTGAAAGATTCTACATGCGCCACTGATTCATTAATAAGATTTTGTTTACAAGAAAATATTGTATTTAAAAGTTCTTGCTGCAAAATTTAAAAGCGAGAAAAATCCTCTGAAAAATAATTTATTACAAATTCTAGAAGAATTAGTTGAATAGCATTTAAAAAAACGAAAAAATATTGTATATGAAGATGGTTACAGAATTATTAGTTAAAGTTAAAAGTTTATTCAAAAATAATTTGTGAAAATTTTTCAAAATCTGTTTTAACCATCAAGAAATTGGATAAGTAATAAGTAATTCAATGTAATGAAATTTTATGTTATTTACAAAAAGAAAAAATGTTTTCCAAACCGAAAAATCTCAAAACAATATCTCTCTTACGCAGAAATAATCTATTAAATATTTATTATTATAACTATTTCCTCAATTTCCTCTTTACATGAAAAGGGGAAGAAAAGTGATGATGATTTGCTTGCTGCAAGGGCTAGACTAGATCGATGATCGAGTCGCGTTATATGTACCGTCTGAATTGTGCAGAAAAATGAGTAGATAATAACATATTGGGATTGAAAGGTAGTAAGGCACGTGGTTTGCCGTTTCTAACTCGCGCTCGCCATTGCAACAAGGCTTTGCCATTACCAGCTCGCCCGGACGTCAATTTCATACCTCTCTTAACCAGTTAATTGTGTCGACCTCCTTAACGATATGTTTCTCCACCTATCAAACACGAAGCATACGTAATATAAAATTAGGTTGTAGTGAGACGATTTGAGAAAATGATAACAATATTCTCTAAAATGCATTATTGTGGCGAATGCATGTTTATAATGATAAAATTCGATGAGGAAATTTGACAAGGACGGACGGACGGAGCATGACATATATGCCTATCATATACAGTTAACTGACAACCGCATCATATATCAAGTGGAGAAACCTTTTAGTACAGATGTAATTATTT